CCGGCGAGGGCTCGGGCAGCCCTGACGTCACGACCGCACCCGCGCACCCTCCACCCCGAGGTATTTACCTTCGAAAAGTGGTGGCGGCTGCAGGTACCGGAGGATTGGGGTGGTCGGGAGGGGCTAGGTCTACCGGGGCTGCCCGTCACGCCGATCCGAGCCCAGGGAACACCCTCGCTCCCACTCCCATACCCGACGGACACGTCCAAAATGCTTCCCTCCCCACCAAACCCTTCCCGATAGGATTAGCCCTCTCTCCTCTCTAGCCTTAATTTAAACTCTGCTTTTGAGGGTCTGAACTCTCCAATGTTAAGCCCCAAATACCATCTCATCCCTGAGTAGTCTTCTCCAACCCTGGTCACCCACTTTCAAGTCCAGCCCCCATTTTCCTCCCTGAACTCCCATCCTCAGCCCTGAAAACCCTCTTCTCAGCTCCTAGCATATTCGTGGATCCAATCCTAAGTGACTCTCCAACCTACCCTCTCCCCCAAATTTGTGACCTAGCCCCAAACTCCATCGTTGCTCTCCTGTCCCTCACCATATATCCCTTCTTTTGCTCAGTCTGGGCCGGGGCCCTGTGTGCCTGAAGACATGGAGTTTGTGTCTGGATACCGGGATGAGTTCCTTGATTTCGCTGCCCTTCTCTTCGGCTGGTTCCGAAAGTTTGTGGCAGAGCGTGGAGCTGTAGGGACTAGCCTTGAGGGCCGCTGGTGGCAGCTGGAGGCCCAGATCAGAAGGCTGCCCCAGGACCCTGCGCTTTGGGTGCTCCATGTCCTGCCCAACCGTAGTGTGGGCATCAGCCTGGGGCAAGGGGCAGAGCCAGGTCCTGGACCAGGCCTGGGGTCTGCCCGGCTCCTGGGAGATGACCCTCCACTCCACCTGCGAGACCTGAGCCCCTACGTCAGCTTTGTCAGCCTAGAGGACGGGGAGGAAGGGGAGGAGGAAGAGGAGGAAGATGAAGAAGAAGAGAAGAGAAAGGAAGGGGGTGCAGGCACAGAGAAGGTGGAACCAGAGGAGGACCAGGAGCTAGCTCCTAGCAGCAGGGAGTCCCCCCAGGAAACAAACCCTCCAGGAGAGTCAGAGGAGGCTGACCGGGAGGCAGGAGGTGGCAAGGATGGCTGCCGAGAGGACAGGGTGGAGAATGAAACAAGACCCCAGAAGACCAAGGGACAGAGGAGTGGTAAGAACCCAGGGCTGGCCCTGCCCTACCTCTTGCCCAGCCATCCTCCCTTCAGAAGCCCTCCCCTGCCACTAGTTCTGAGTGCTGGCCTTCAGGCCAATCTGGCCTGAAAAGGTGTTTTTATTGACCCATAGTGGGTTTTGTTTTTTTAAAATTTAATGTTTAAACATTACAAGAAAAAAAATATCCAGAAGTCTGGATTTACACATTCCCAAGAAAAATCTCCAGCTCTGACAGGGGGCCTACATTTGTGCATGGCAGCGCGTTCTGGTCCTCTGTAGCAGCTGTCCCCTTTAGAAGGAGTGTGCGCTCTCTACCCAGTGCCCTTTACTTGGTGAGGTTACTTGCCTAGCCCCTGTAGGTATCCGAGTTTGCTACTCCTGACCCTGACCACACGTCTCTCGCTGTCCCCTACCACCTCAACTTTTCCCTCTTTCCCCAGAGGCTGCCCCCCTGCACCTTTCCTGTCTCTTACTCGTGACGGATGAGCATGGCACCATCTTGGGCATTGATCTGCTAGTGGATGGAGCCCAGGGAACTGCCAGCTGGGGCTCAGGGACTGAGAACCTGGCTCCTCGGGCCTATGCTCTCCTCTGTCACAGCATGGCCTGTCCCATGGGCTCTGGGGACCCCCGAAAGCCCCAACAGCTTACTGTGGGAGATGCCCGGCTGCATCGGTATAGAAATCTGGTATCTGAGGCTGGGGAGGGCTGGGGCCCTGGATTCCCAAGCACCCCCTCCAGCCTGATTCCGTCTTCCCCCCTATTTAGAGAGCTGGAGAGCTTGGTCCCAAGGCTAGGTGTGAAGTTAGCCAAGACCCCAATGCGGACATGGGGTCCCCGGCCAGGCTTCACCTTTGCTTCCCTTCGTGCTCGAACCTGCCACGTGTGTCACAGGCACAGCTTTGAAGTGAAGTTGACACCCTGGTGAGCAGCCCAAAAGCTGCGGGGAGAGGAAGATCCCAACAGTCAGGCAAATAGAAAGAAAGCAGGGTGGTGGGGGGGCCTAGCAGACAGAAGGAGGGGCAGGGACATGAGAAGATGCAGATGAAACAATACAGGCTATTACAGGCGGTTAGAGGGTGTAAGACAAACAGACCAAGGGACATATGGGCAGCTGCTGGGCAGATGGACAGCAGACAGGGCCCACAGAGGTTAACACTAGGTGCCCACCACCCACTGTGTCCTCAGCCCCCAGTGTAGTGCTGTCTTGTATTGTGGCGCGGCTTGTCTCCGGGCTGACTGGCGGCGGTGCCCAGATGATGTGAGCCACCGATTTTGGTGCCCAAGGCTTGCAACCTTCATGGATCGGGCAGGAGAACTGGCAGCCCTGCCTTTTACCTACACCGCAGGTACCATAAGGAGGTCAGAATGGTTGGGGGAAACTGGGCCCAGGTGTTTGAGACTGGGAATTAGATGTCTGGGAACAGGGTCCTGGAGTTGAAGGCTGAGAGTCTGGGGCTAGAGCCTAGATCCCTGGAACAAGGGCAGGAGCTGGGTGTTTGGGGCTGGAGACAGGGTCTGTGAGGCCAAGGACTGAGTGTCTAGGTCCCTGAGAGAGTGCAGGGATTGGGGGACAGAGATCCAAACACTTACTTGCTTCCCGACTCCACCACTAACTGGCAGCGTGACCTTAAACAAACCACTTTGCTTCCTGAAGCCTCCGTGTCCTCATCTATAAAAGAGGGATATGAACATACATAAAGGCCCATGGAATTGTTACAAGGATTATCTTGGCTTGATATACTGGAGACACTCAGCAATGGTAGTTTCCTGCCTGACTGGAACCAGACTTAGAACCAGAGTCCTTGCGGGAGGCTGGGGAGAGTTCAAGTCTGGGGTTGTAGACCAGGCAATGGTTCACACCTGTAATCCCAGCACTTTGGGAGGCCAACCTAAGCCCAGGAGTTTGAGATCAACCTGGGCAACATAGACTCTTTCTCTACAAAAAATAGAAAAAATTAGCCAGGCATGGTGCACACGCTTGTGGTCACAATTCTCGGGAGGCTGAGGTGGGAGAATCGTTTGAGACCAAGAGGTCGAGACTGCAGTGATCCGTGATCACGCCACTGCACTCTAGCTTGGGTAACAGAGCAACACTCAAAAAAAAAAAAAGTCTGGGGTTCTAGCCCAGCACCTCAACTCCTCCCCTTCTCCTTCTCCAGAGGTGACCAGTGAAACCTTCAACAAGGAGGCCTTCCTGGCCTCTCGGGGCCTCACTCGTGGCTACTGGACCCAGCTCAGTATGCTGATTCCAGGCCCCGGCTCCTCCAGGCACCCCCGAGGCCACATGCCATCCCTCAGCCTTCGCGGTGGTGCGTGGGGTCTCTCTTCAGGCTTGGGCCCCTCGGCATAGGGGAAAGGACTGGGAAGAAGTTGTCTGGGTCCCAGATAATCCCTCCACATACACACTGACCCCTACCAACAGCACCAGGGCCATTTCAGGCCTTTCCCAGCAGGCAATGGAATCACCCCTACCGACTCCACCCACAGGCCCCGTCCGTATGCAAACCCCCATTCCTCTTACTATGGCTCTCTCAGGGAATACAGCTCCCTTGGAAGAAAGAAGGAGATGGGTCAGGTGGGGGTCTCCCTGACCCCAGGCCCCTCTTTCTTTCATCCTCTCAGGAGACCCCTACCAGCTTCTCCAGGGGGACGGACCTGCCCTGATGCCTCCTGTGCCCCCAGATCCACCCCGGGCTCTTTTTGGTGAGCTGGAGGGGCCCTGTGGGAGCTAGGGGTAGGGCCAGGGACTGGAGAACCAGAGCCTGGGTGGCTGTGAAGAAGCGGCCTATTAGACTAGAGGAGGTGGAGCCCAGGGACAGGTCCTCTCGTAACCCCCTCCTCCCAGGCTCATGGAAGGATTATTACACATGGCGTGGCCTCAGCTTGGACTCCCCCACAGCTGTGCTTCTCACCTACCCGCTGACCGTGTACTACGTCATCACCCACCTGGTGCCCCAGTCCTGTAAGGAGAGCGGAGTTGGGGGGTAGGGGGAAGATGGGGGAGTGAGAATGGCCCACATCCTTAATGCACTGGCTTCTCACCCAGTCCCTGAGCTCAACATCCAAAACAAACAATCACTGAAGATCCACGTGGTGGAGGCCGGGAAGGAGTTTGACCTTGTCATGGTGTTTTGGGTAAGTCACCCCAGGCCCGAAGGTTGGGTATCTTCGTATGGGGGTGGGCACAGGGTAGAACCCAGATCTGTCCTTCTTTCTGTCCTTCAGGAGCTCTTGGTCCTGCTCCCCCATGTGGCCCTGGAGCTGCAGTTTGTAGGTGATGGCCTGCCCCCCGAAAGCGACCAGCAGCATTTTACCCTGCAGAGGGTAAGGGCTGAGGGGGCCCTGCTTTTCAGCCCTGACCCCTCCAGTGACCTCCTGGTCGGGCCCTGCCCTTCTGCCTCCCACTCCCCATCTTGCCTGGTGCATCCTTCAGTTCCCTGACTTCCAGTGGCCTTTGCACCCCACTCCTGGCCCCTCAGGACGGCCCCAAGGTGTCTGTCCGTCCTGGTTCTGGCATATCAGCACGGCCCAGCTCTGGCACTAAGGAGAAGGGAGCCCGCAGGGACCTGCAGATCAAGGTGTCAGCAAGGCCCTACCACCTGCTCCAGGGGCCCAAGCCCGACCTGGTTATTGGTAAGAGCCTAGGTCTCGGGGTAGGCATGTGGGGAAGGTGGGGGAGAAGCCCACCACGGAAGCCAGCTTCTCCCTCCTCTCGTCTGCAGGATTTAACTCCGGGTTTGGTCTCAAGGATACGTGGCTGAGCTCTCTGCCACGGTTACAGGTGGGCAATGGGGGCAAAAGGGAACTTCTCTCCCCTCCTGCCTGGCCCCTCCCCATCTCCTTTTCTGAAAGTCTCTGGGCTCTCCTCTTCACCATCACCCGCTCCACAAACCTGGGGAGCGCCCACGGGTCCCCCTGCCTCTCTCTGTGTCTGTCTCGGTCCTCCGCCTCCTCCCTTCTGCCCGGTCTGTCCCGGGGCTTTCAGCCCTGTCTGTCATTCCGGCTGCTGGACGGATCTGGGGAGGGGCCTCTCAGAGCGAGTCTCGCTCCACCCCAGTCCCTCCGAGTGCCAGCCTTCTTCACCGAGAGCAGCGAGTACGGCTGTGTGATGGACGACCAGACCATGGCGGTGGCCACTGGAGGGGGCACCAGCCCTCCCCAGCCCAACCCCTTCCGCTCCCCCTTTCGCCTCAGAGCGGCCGACAACTGCATGCCCTGGTAAGGGCCTGCGACCCTATTTCCTTCCTGACCCTTCACTTCTCTTACTCTCTGGCTCCACATCCACAAAGACCCACCTCTGCCCTGGTCCCTGCAGTCCTGGGACCCTCCTGCCCCCAGCCCAGCAACCTGCCTTCTCTGCCCCCACTACTCGTCGCCCCCATGGGAGGTCTCGACATCCCCCAGCACACCCCTCTTTAGATGTAGCTCACGGAATCTCCGCAACCCACAAAAGACCCCGCGACCCTCCAACAGACCCAACCCTGGGTCTAGCCCCACGCCCTGGAACTCAGAGGGGCAAGCCCCGCCCCTGGAGCCCCGCCCCCTAGTCCCTGACTGCGCCCCGCGCCCCCCGCAGGTACTGCAATGCCTTCATCTTCCATCTGGTTTACAAGCCTGCGCAAGGGAGCGGGACCCGCCCGGCGCCCGGCCCCCCACCCCCGTCCCCAACTCCCTCCGCTCCTCCTGCCCTTACCCGAAGGCGCCGAGGAGAAAAGAAACCTGGGCGGGGGGCCCGCCGGCGGAGATGAATGCTGATACCATAGTAGACCCCCTCCCAAACACTGAGAGGAAAACGTGAAAACACTCAAGGTCGAGGGGGAGGACAGGCTGGTAAAACACGAAAAGGTCAATAAAATTACTTGTTTGAAACCACTGAGTCATTGACCTTTTGATTACACGCTCATAATTGGGCCATTAAACTGGGAAGGAAGAGAAAGTTTTTGTTTGTTTGTTTGTTTGTTTGTTTTTTGAGACGGAGTTTCCCTCTTGTCGCCCAGGCTGGAGTGCAGGGGATGCGATCTCGGCTTACTGCAACCTCTGCCTCCCAGGTTCAAGCGATTCTCCTGCCTCAGCCTCGGGAGCTGGGATTACATGCATGCGCCACCACACCCGGCTAATTTTTGTATTTTTAGTAGAGACAGCGTTTCCCCATATTGGCCAGGCTGGTCTCGAACTCGTGACCTCTGGTGATCCTCCCGCATCGGAAAAGGAGTTAGGGATGACTTACTTTCCCCCAGCCCCTTTTAGTCCCCTCGACGGCTGTCATTTCTTTAACTCAGAGTCAGGGATTGTGACCCTCCTTGGTAATCCCATGGCTCTCCTAATTATGTATTGACCAGTCGCTTTCCAGTCCTGGTCACCCTCAGGGACCAGCACCAAGGCAAGGAAAGACCAAGCAGCAGAAAGTGGCTTCTTCCTGGGGGCAGGGGAAACAAACAACCTCCTGGGACCACTCAGACCCTTGGTTTGGATTCAGTGAAAGGCCCCAGCCACCCAACTCCACCTTTTCTCACCACCTCATATCCAATAATCAACTCCTGCTGAGCTGTTCTCCTGAAATCACTCAAGTCCATCAAGGTATGTCCATTCCCGCTGCAAACTCCACCATATCTCATCGCCACATTGCAGCCCAAAATATTCCTCCTAAAAAAAAGACATCTGAGGATGGGGCGCCATGGCTCACACCTGTAATCCCAACACTTTGGGAGGCCGAGGCAGGCAGATCACCTGAAGTCGGGAGTTCGAGACCAGCCTGGCTAACATGGAGAAAATCCCGTCTCTACTAAAAATACAAAATTAGCCGGGCGTGGTGGCACATGCCTGTAATCCCAGCTGCTCAGGAAGCTGAGGCAGGAGAATCATTTGAACCTGGGAGGCGGAGGTTGCGGTGAGCCAAGATCGTGCCATTGCACTCCAGCCTGGGTAACAGAGCAAGACTCGTCTCAAAAAAAA